ATTAACAATCTGGGTCTGGGAAAAAAATAAAACAATCAAATCTATTTTTAACATTTTGACAAAAATGGCAAAAAAAAAAAAAAGGGGGGAAAAATATGAAGGCATGATAGAAGGTTTTCAAGACAGTTTCAAACGTGACCTTCATGTAACAAAATGGAAAAAAAGCCCTTGGGACAAAAAAGTGCCTCAATTCTTTCAAAACTTTCATAAGCAGAGCCACCAGAATGACTGGCATGAATTCAGGAAGGGTTTGTCCCCATTAGTTAAATATACTTATATGTGCTACAGGACACACCAACCCATATTTTTTTAGGCCACAGTCATACTAGACAGTCTAGTAGGAATCTCTAGACATCTAGCATTACACATTCCCGTGCGTAATGCTTTGAATGAATGACCTTGTAATACTTTCATTGTATCTACAGTGGTATATGAGTAAGTTGCTTTCACTTGTTTTAACAGGGTTTTGTGGTTGCTGTACTCTACTGTTTCATGAATGGAGAGGTAAGGCACGGATGGATGAATAAACAGACAGAATCTTTAGGTGCACTCAGTCACAGCTGATCAGATGCCTCTTCCTATATTGAAGTTTCATTCAATTTCTCTAGCTAAAAGCTAAAGCCCTGGAAGCCTGTAATTGTCTTAGATTCTGCTAGCTCACACAGGCTGCAAATAGCTCTAGACATACTGGCAAAGGAGGCCTATTACTTTGATATATGCATTGATGTTCACAGCATCTTGGGCCTTTTTGCTTGTAGTACAGATTAAATAAAAGGGTCACAGGTACAGACTTTATTCCAGGTGCATTCAAATAATTTCACATGTTTGTGCCCCACAGATGAAGTTTAACAACTAGTGTACAAACTTAAACTGATTTCTATGTGTAAAATGATCCTGTTTTACTGTAAAAATCAACCCAGGCTCACTGGAAACAAGTGACTACATTTGTGCAAAACTTGAAATACCTCACATTTCACTGCACTTTTCAGTAAAACAACTTTTGTTCCTTTTCACACAAATTATAATTACAGTGACAGATTGATAAATAAATACATATTTTTGCACTGTTCCTTGCACGATACTATGTTCCTATCTCAAAATACTTTTACCATAGTGCGTGATTTGTAAACTAATAGAGTTTGATGTTTGTATCACATAACCAGCTCCACATGTATGGCTTTTCTGATGAAGTAAACTTGCTCGATAACTCACCTGATACATCATTGCACTTTCAATGTGGAGCCAGTATAAATAAGAATAGTAGACTAGTAAAAAATACTAGATACAAGCTAAAATGGCACGGTTGCTTCCTTCTGCAAATGCGTTGTATCTCATGCTGGCTTTAATTTAACACTATTGGTTGTTTTTAGGGTAGGACTTATTGTAGCATTATTTTCAAATGCGACAGAAATCGTTTAGGGTTACCAGACGTTTAGGGCCAGATTTACTAAATGCTTGCACCAGTGCAAACCCTCTTTTGGCATTAAAAAAGTACTGTCAGGATGTCCTAAAGACGTACAGTGAAAAATAGTGATGAAAAGGTGTGGACAGTAATTTTTGCGGCTGACCTTATTGCATATGCATTTGTAGGAGTTTCCCTTCAGACGCAAAATTTATGAGAGGAGTGTATTTAAATGAATCATGCAACATGATTTATTAAGGTTTGCAGTAGTCAATTTACTGGTATTTGCGCCATTATGTACTGCCCAAGAAAAGCACGTCTTAACTCAATTCACACTTGACATGGCTACGATTGTTGCTGCCAGGAGGAGGCACCGCAGAGAACAGAGAGTGCGTGGTTTAGAGGAGAGAATTTTTCCACTTATGACGAGAAGAATCTGGTATGCTTGAGCATTCTGTTGTTTTTGGGTCGCGTCTTGTGACATCACATCTTGTTTTTGATTTGTGTAGATGTCTTTGGTCCCTGTTGCATATATATATTTTAGTCAAACTGCACCAGTTTATTTGGAAGTGGACTGAGACCCCCTAACAAGTTGGGTCTCACTCTGCTTGTTTGGTGCACACCAAGGTTTGGATAGCAGCATTCACACGTTTCAAAAATCAGTCCAAATATCAGTCACTTTCAAAAATCAGTCCAAATTTAGTCCACAACACCACCAGAATGGTAACGGCACAGAGGAATGATATCGTTGGAATCACTTTCAAAATATCTTTTCTCCAGCTGATCAACGGTAAAAACATTGGCAGCCAGAATCCCAAAAACTGAACACACAATTTACCACCAGTCAATAGAGATTTCACTTTAAATCTGCTGTGCTACAAGCAATGCAGTATCTTTTTGCAAAAAAACAAGCTTTTTTCATGACACTGGGCACTGGGCAATGGAGGAAAAATTAAATCGCATGTAGCACCTTATGTGGATGTCACCTTAAACACTGTGTAGCGAAAGTAGACAAAGTGTACTTCAAGTTTTGCAGAAATACAGTCAGAGTCAAGCATTTCGCTGTAGAGACCAAATGTGATGTTTCTTCGAAACATATTTTTTTTTAATGATGTTTTCAGTCCTGTGTGAGTGTGTGTGTGTGTTTAGGCATATTTGGAAGCCGAATGCCCTTCTCTGCACTATCATTCCAGATCAGTCATCCCAGCGGTGTCAACATTCATTTTGCATGCTTGTTTGAGTGTCATTGTGCCATGTATCGCCGTGAATTGATGGTTTAATGGTCTAATGTCAAATCCTTTTGTGCAAAGAACAAACTATCAATTGTGAGATCAACGATGACCAGGATGGCACTGTTGGAGCTTGATAGAACTGTCATAGGCTTTTACAATGCTTATTATTAATCTTAAGGAATAATACATGTCGACTAATTTATGCTTAACAATGGAATTAGTACTTATGTGCATTGTAAATCTTACCATTTTCTTTGTACTGTGACATTTTTTTTTTTTTTACGTCCTTTGGTTTCAGTGGTAACTTGCAGTGCTTGTTCAATGCCCTTCTCTGCACTATCATTCCAGATCAGTCATCCCAGCGGTGTCAACATTCATTTTGCATGCTTCTTTGAGTGTCATTGTGCCATGTATCGCCGTGAATTGATGGTTTAATGGTCTAATGTCAAATCCTTTTGTGCAAAGAACAAACTATCAATTGTGAGATCAACGATGACAAGGATGGCACTGTTGGAGCTTGATAGAACTGTCATAGGCTTTTACAATGCTTATTATTAATCTTAAGGAATAATACATGTCGACCAATTTATGCTTAACAATGGAATTAGTACTTATGTGCATTGTAAATCTTTGCAGTAATGATAATGCTGTAAACTTACCATTTTCTTTGTACTGTGACATTTTTTTTTTTTTTACGTCCTTTGGTTTCAGTGGTAACTTGCAGTGCTTGTTCAAGCAGATGGATTTTTGTGTTTATGTACAAGCTAAAGGGAAATGAAAAAGCAGGCTGCCCTGTCACACCAATGTTCTTGTCTCACAGTTTTTCTCATTGAGATGGACTTGCAGCCAGATCACGGCCTGTGAAGTCCCGGAAAGCGACTCGAACTGGGTCAGCGCCACATAAAGGTAGTTCTGGATTGTGGTTTCTGTTTCCAGTGGAGTGTAAAAAGTCATGTACAGTCACATCTGATAGAATGTACACCAAAATGGGACTTCTTGCAAAGGTTATAGTAACATATTTAATGAAAAAAGTTTAAAGCCTCAAATCACTGCCCAATATTGTCTGATGACATATGTTTCATTTTAAATATGTGATTAGCCAGATTACCTCTAATCTACCACAATAAAGAATGTATATTCTTATAAAAATGTTAAATAAAATGTTGTAATTTTCAATATATAAAAGATAGCTAGCAGTGTACTTGGTGAACTTTATATAAATTCATATAGGAAAATGTGCCTATTTTAATCATTTGCGCTGTATAAGCTGTCTGGTTTTGGAACCATGTGTAGATATGCTGTTTGTTGTATATGAATTTAGGTGAAGCATAATATGTAAGTGCACAGCAGAAAAACTGGATGTTGTGTATATTAACTGTGTATCTGTGCTGTGAAAGTGAGTAATATTTGTCCATACCGCATGCAACACATATGGTGCATTTCAAGTAATAAATTCACAAAAAGCATGACCCAAATTCTTTACAGTCATGTGTACATGTGAATATTTTTGTATCCACATTTAAATAAGCTTGATACATGGTATATGCATTTTTGTAACATTTGGGACCATTTTCCACTGTTGTTTGAATGTTCACGATCAACGATTTTAAATAAACAACTTGAGCTGTATATTTACATTGCTCAGAAATGACACACTTGAATATTACTGACAAAAGAACTGCTTATCCACTGGGTTTCAACAGACGCTCCCATATCAAATACTTTCTATTTTCCATCTGCCTTCAAGAAAACCAAGAATAAGCCCTGTGCCACAGTCCTTTTCCCCCAGAGAGATTCAGCTAAATAAATTATTTGCTGTGTAAATTTCACTCTACTAAAATACACAGCTTCCTCTCCGAGCCTGTCAAATCCCAGACATCCTTTGAATTCTGCCTTTGCCTTCTGGTAAGCACTGAATGAAATTAAGGGCATAGAAGCAAATGAAGCAAACACCAAAACACATTTTTCTACGTTTAGAGGCTTTTGTCTAGTTGTAGATAATTGCAGCAATCCATTGTGCCAACTCGATGTCAATCCTGCAAGAAACTGGACTTTTTCCTTATCTCTATTGTCCTTGCCATTCAGCAAAACATGAGGAATCAACCGATATAAACAAGTTAATGTGGGTTATGACATGCACTTTAAAATTCTTTAAACTTAAAAGACCCGAAGACCTCAAATCTGGAGACCACAGGTCTGGAAAAACAATGCTAGAAGCAAATAAGAAAATCCGCAAAGCTTGTTTTGCGCGGAAAACATTAGAGGTGGACCGTGGAAAAAATTAATTCATAAAAAAATTAGAACTTGACTCGAACACAAACCCAAAAAGCAAAACTCAAATTTGTATTAAATTGTTTTTGTATTCATACTAAAATGAGCTTGGGTGTCATTTGATAATTTTTGGACTATGTTTTCTGTGAATCCAATTAATGTCACACCATAACATGGTTACATTATGACACACGTATACATCAGCAGGGGTCTGACACGAAAGAACCATTTCCAATAACTCATCATCAGACACCGGCTGAGAACATTATGAATTGCCAAAGTAAAACACTCAAAACCCATACTCCTGTCAGCAAAGGAGGGAAATTAATTTTCTCTGTGCAGTTTCCCCTCATTGTCAGCTGGTCCTGTTTTTTTTTACATGATCATTCGTCTTATTACTCTTTCAAAGGCCACTCTCAAAGGTCTCTGCTTCGGTTTAGGCATAAATGCAGTGACAACCTCTCACAGATGTTCACAAAATCCTCATCATGTTCACAAATGTACTCACGCTCGGGCCATATACAAGAGTTTGTTTTTTCATCTGAACAGATTTGGAGAAAGTTAGCATTACATCGCTTGATCACCAGTGGATCCTCTGCAATGAATGGGTGCCATCAGAATGAGAGTTCAAACAGCTGATAAAAAATATCAAAATAATCCTCAAGTAATCCACACGACTCCAGTCAACCAATTAATGTCTTGTGATTTATCTACATAAACTTATCTACATCTCGGATGGCCTGGTGGTGACTACATTTTCTGCAAATGTTCTTTTTTTTTTGGCAGGAAATATGTTGTTGATGTTCCTTGAATATATATTTTCCTCATTCGTTTAGAATTTTCTTCAAATAAACCTCAAACCTGGCACCAATAAATTGTAAAAAGAGCAGAGCAGAACCTGCAATTGAGCTATTTCTGCCTGATCGAACAATTAAATGAAGCGTATAGTGTTAGTTCTGGCAGGTCATGTGAGTTAAGCTTGCATCGGCTGACTCTCAGCTGATCCACATCTACCTATAGGAACATGACGCCTATCATGACATTCCTATTTAAGGTCTATTCAGTATTATTCAGCAGATTTATCGCTTGCTCAGGAGCAAATTACCCTCCTCCATCCCCAACTCCTCCTTTCGCCCCACAGTCAGGACTTGGCTTTCTGATATTTCTCATTGAATCGGACTCCTTTTTACACTTAAATATTATTAAGAACATTATTGATATCTGAAATATTATTAAGAACATTATTGATATCTGCTTTGTTCTGTTTACCGTTGGGGGGGTATCAATCATTTTGACGATAGTGGTCCTGACAGAAATTTAGCTTGGTTGATCCAAAGGATTCAGCGACATTTTTTCAATTTGTTATGTAGATTTATTGCAGCTTTGTTTTACACAATTAATGGAACATATGCAAACAAGCTAATGAATAATGCCAGTGACAAATACCTTATTCTATGCCAACGAGCCCAGCCTAAATTGAAAATGTGTTAACAGAAGTCTTTTATAATAAAACAGAAAGTATTTTGTCATTCTTTTGGATGCTCTTTTTGCTGCTTTCCACATAAGGGCTGTTAACAGGTGCCTAGCTGCAGGCCACATTTCAGTATTCATGTCCATTGTTAAATATTCATGAGCCAAAGTACCCATGGATGTTCAGCACAACCACTGTTCAACAAGTTTCAGCTTTGAGCTGAGCCAAACCTGCTTTAAGAATGCCAAATCTGTGCCATTGTATTGTTGGCTTGGCTCGACCTGATATTGTAAGAAATGGTCCCCATTGGGTGCCCTCCGTGTGAAATCAATGCAGCATATAACATTGTGTTCAGTGGCTTCCATGCAGTAAAAGCATGACTTATAAGAAAAAACTTCAGCAGAAATGGGAGATGATCTGGTAATTTGTTTGAGCCAGTGATTTTTCACCCTCACAGACGTGACTGGGAACCGTGACTGGAGCTCGACCTGTCAGACAGTATCCAATCAGAGAAAGCTTGACTTGCCTCAGGCTCCGTGGTGTTGATAAAATGCATTTGAGTCCCACACACACACCTGAAACGGCACTTCTTGTTGCTTTATCGTCTAGGTATACGCAGCAGGTTTTTTAGACACCATGTAAAGCAAAATATGTTCAGTTTTTAAAACCGCTAAATCTAGTTTTTTTTTAAATAAATCAGCATTCAGTGTGAACGAAAATGTTCTTGATTTCTACTTCATTCTACTTCAATTATTTTTATATGTTAACATCCCTTAAGTAAATTAACCATGGTTTTATTATAGTAAAAGTGTAGTAACCATGTTTTTTGGCAGATTGATTACCATTTGTATAACCACAGTTTTACTACAAATACCATGGTTAAGCTCTGGTTATTAGGCCTATAACAAAACCATGGTTAATTTGTGATAACCATAGTTTAACTAGCCTACAATAGCCATGTTTTTCATAAGGGATGCGTTATAGGTGAATGTATGTGTCTTGAAAGGTTATAGCTTTTAAACTTTTAAAAACACATCTAGAGACCGTGTGTTCTTTTCCATTCTGTGTTCTGTGTGACTGTATAGCTTTGCTGATTCCTGTACAAGTCCTGTAATATTCTCCTCAGATGTTTGACTCTGCTGCTTTTTAACCTGTGAACATGGGCTCTACTATTTGTCTTGGTTGTAAATTGTGCGCTGAACCAATTATAAGCTTCAAAGCCTTCTTTCATAGCCGAGAAAACATTGCACAGTGTAGGACTGTGTATATTATGAGTCAAGAAAATATTTGATTCGTTTATGTGTTATGCTGGCACTGTCCCTCAGCCATTCATTCACACAAAGGCTTTTTGGGATTTCTCATCACTGTTTTGCTATTCAAAGCCAAGGTTGTGGTTCCAGTCCACACACATTTGAAAGTGAAAATTAATTGAAGTGAATTCATGGTGTGGGTGAATAGAAAGATGAGTCATTCAGATCTGCATGTTTGCAGGAATCTGAATCATAACCAGCATTTGCTACATATTGTCCAGTTCAAAATGAATTTACAATATGCGGCTGATTGAATGAGACTCTCTATTCATAACTCAGTAAATAGGTATTTGTTCATGTTGGCAGATGTGTAAATGTCATTGGAATTGTGTGTGAGGTTTTGATTGTCATTTCCAGATGTTCGCCAGCTCTTCCCTAGGTGTCCAACACATAAACCCACATATAACAATGCATGCAATTATCCTCGTTACTATTGCTTTTGGTGCCAAAATTAATTTTAAAGCTTTTCTTAGTGAAGCCAGATTGGATGACTACAGTACCATGAGATTTTCTGTGCTAATGACACAATTATGTAGAAAATCATACTGTACTATACAAACAACATTCATGTATGTTCTATACTTTCATAAGCTTTCAAACTAGGGCTCGGGAGGGCGCTGATGGTTTGCATTGACATGACGTAGGTAAATGCAAGTAAATAATTACATTTTTGATTACTTTGTCCTTTAAGCATTATGTAAATCAGTGATTCTCAACCTTTGAAGGCCCGCTTGCCCTAGTTTTGTTCCTGAAAACAGTGTTTCACACTGAAACACACAATTCGTTCTATACAGTGGGTATAGAAAAGAATCATCCCCCCTTTAAAATAATGACATGTTGTTGCTTTGCAGC